TCCGCTTGCATGCTGGAAGCGTCTACGTATTGTCTTTTTTTTTTGTAGTTTGCAAGACTAGTTGGTAGCACTTGAGGTAAGTTAAACAGGGTCGCGGACAGGAAGTTACACATCGCCGCACCATAACTGAGGCCAGCAACTCATTTGCATATAACATCAACAGTGACTTGTCAATCAAAGAGCAACGTAAACAAACTTTCGGGACTTTTAATCACATACGCGTGCCTCGATTCCCTATATTTTAAAATCCATTTTTGGGCATGTTCCAGCATTGACAATGCTCCGAAATTTCAACACTATCTAGCCAAGACTGTCTGGGTAACAAAAGCAAAAAAAAAAAAAATTCTCTCCTAGTGCCCACAAACATGCATCTATACCTTAATTGGCCGACATAGCAGCGTTGCAAGCAATATTGTTCCAAGGATCAAGTCGATCGTAGCAACACAGCTGTATTGTCCTATGTATTGTGATACTTCGCCCCTTTTTTACCCACAATAAAACAGTGGAATCTCCATACGAAAAAATAAAGCGTTGACTATGCGTAGTACGTCTTTGGGTCCAACTAATGTCATATTCTAATCATAACCCCCACGTTAACAGCGTTAACACAAATTACGTAACCATTTTTTGTGATTACAGCCCATGTGTAAAATTGTTATGAAGGAGTGGCTTTCAAAGAGACGACAGATGACTATTGTGATGGTAAAACACATCAATCAATGAATGCATTAGCTTGTCTATCTGAAGATGTTTCTTTTATGCTTTTCGTTTCACAAGCGAGGTCACTGTGACAAAACAGAAAATTAACAGAAGTCGATCACTGCGTTGTCATGTGTTTAAACGGCCCGTACGATCACGGCATCTGTCACGGTTCCAGACATGACGTTTATTTACAAGGCCACCAACTCTTACCACTGTACCATAAAATTAGTGCGAGAGAATGGTTGAGCGAGTGTGTGTATTTGTTTTTATTGAATGAACTGATACTGTAACATTGTTCATAAACCATGCTCCTTTCTCTGTGGGTGCTGCATGTAATGCCGTCGTCACTTTAATTTTCTTTTTGAAATCTTCGTTTTTTAGTTTACTCCTATTAGACCACTCAAAATACAATTTATTTTTTTCAAAATATAATTTCCTGTTTTTATCTATTAATTTAGCCATTCTCAAAAATATTATTTTAATGGTTTTATGGCCGAATTCCGGGGTGCTCAATTTGATTTTGGGTGGGAGTGCTCCGCAGCCAGTTAAAAACTGGACTCAAAAGGATTGGCAATGAGGGCGCTTTTGGCCCCAAAATTAGCGTTTTCGCCATGTTTCTAAACTGGCCGAAAATCTTGAAGTTCTGGCTCAACAACATCGGCTCGATTATATAGGCTCGATCATGAAAAAGGGGGTCAAAACATCCCCATATACATTAACAATGGGAGGAGGGAAAATCGCTGTATGAATGCAATAATAAATTGTCCGTTCTCAAATGCATTTCAGCGAAAATTTCAAAAAAGAATTCACCAATTGACCAATAATTTAGATTTAGTACGACTGTCACACAAATACGTAATGATATTGGTATTAAGAATTTCGTAAATAAATGATGTCAAATGTTCAATATGTATGAAGTCAGAATATAGAGAATTGCCGTCCTGATTGATTCCAAAGATTGAAGTGATTGAAGTGCTTAAATTTTTTAGTTATGTTGTAATACTGTTCCAATATCGGTTTACGTGTCGTAAAAACCAGGACCTGCTATGTTTTAGTAAGAGCTGAGGATCGGGAACCTCCTTGTTCCTACTGGCCTGAAGTTTATTCACCGTAATTAATTAGTCACAGTCTGAAGATGAAAACAAGTATGCAAATAATGTTCAGGCACACTTTAAGCACACTTGAAACAATAAAACAATGCTACATATAGATTTTATAATCACTAAAATATAATGACAAATGGTATGGTGCTTATTTTTTTATTTATCATAGAGAGACTTATCTTGAACTTGCTACAATTAGCTTCAATTTTAATTTAGTAATTATATAGTACTTAATAGAAATGCCCAAACAACGCGAAATTTTGAAAACTAAAATGCAGCTGACCTACATAATTGTTGTCAAAGAAAGTGCCACCATTTGAGACTGTTATACCTGGTAAGAGCACGATACTAATCTATACAATTTGTGTCGCGGAAAACCTTGTCAGCTATAAAGATGTAAAATGCACTCATAACACCTTATATCACAATGCAGGAATCGGTGGATAAGCTTTTTTGCCTGAATATTTAAATGTTACACGTGCTTCATACCTGTAACTTGACCTTACGTATTACACAGACACTCACAGACGTAAAGATTCAACTCGCGTGACAAGTACTTACCGATCACTGTAACAGTATTCAACAAAACGACGTAGTACATAGTCTTAGACGCTAAAGGGAACATATCTGTAGTGTGTGTTGTTACACCGAGATTTAGTTGTTTGTTTAGTACAGGTTGTTCGTATGCGAGGAGTATATTATCTTATACTTATCATCCAAAGTCTAATCCTAATCCAGGTCTTCTTTAATGCACCACTAGTCGCACTGGTGTACGTGGAAGATACTTCCAGTTATCTGGTATCACTGTGTAACCCGGACTTAACGCGTTAAATAGAAAATTGCCATACTATTGTCTAATACATTTCCGTGTTGGGCGCCCTCTTCGAGCTTATTCGACGCAGTTGAGATGTAGGTGCTGTGCTCGGCATGAATCAATACATGTTCTCAGTTATGTGATTATTTTCAAATAAAACAGGTACATTTTTGTACTCAATAAAACACTAACATGTTATGCAATTCCATTGCAATATATACGAATGGTGGTTTATAATATTTTGTCCTCGGGGGCGGACATCCGGGCATTTTCACCGCCTGGCAACCCGCGGCGGTGAAAACAAAGGCCCAAAACTCGCAGAAAACGGTACTTTGGGGTGATTGTTGAAACTCCTCTGAACAGTGCAACAAAATTAGCCCTACGTGTGTAACATATATAAATTTGATTGTTCGGGATTACTTCAAAGTTGAGTTTGTATTGTTTTCTCGAATTTTCACCGGCTCGACCGGCGTTCCACAGCAGCGCGCACAGAGCCCATAGAAATACGTGGTACAGTGGTGCGCGTCTTAGCAACGTATAACGTCTGTGACGTAGCTCCGCCCCCGAGGATAGCTAAAGGACACACCACACTACACTGGGTTCTCATTTGGGACTCGGGACACCGGACTGCTGCACGCTGAGTAGGTCGTACGGTTCTCATTTAGGACTCGGACACCGGACGGTTGCATGCTGGGTAGGTCATACCGTTCTCAAATACTCACGGCAGTCAAATTGAATAATAAAATATTTCTCTTTTTATCCCAAAACGGCCAAGTTCGTATACCTTAAAGATATTCTTTAAGACATTGCTTATATTGCAGTACCAGATATTGCACACGCTCAGAATACACCCCAACACAAGAATCAGATCACATAATGAATATTTGTATTCAATGAATAACAGTAGCATTCTCAAATACTCACGGCAGTCAAATTGAATAATGAAATATTTCTCTTTTTATCCCAAAACGGCCAAGTTCGTATACCTTAAAGATATTCTTTAAGACATTGCTTATATTGCAGTACCAGATATTTCACACGCTCAGAATACACCCCAACACAAGAATCAGATCACATAATGAATATTTGTATTCAATAAATAACAGTGGCATAAGTAGCATAAACAAAGCATATACATTAAGTATGAGTTATCATGCTATAAAAAGTAAAAATATTGTTTTGATTCATAACATAATATATATCTTTTTGAAGCCCTTATCTTTGCTTTTTGAAAAACTACGAGTTGAATCAGTTTGGACATTCACAAAATTACATACTTACAGTTTTACAACCATAACACCTACTCGGGATTGTCTAACATGCATCGTCAACACGGACCCAAAAAAACTCACCAAATATATGCTACAACCATGGAGGTAACAGACAGAAGGAGTTACAACTGGTTTAAGATCAAAGGTTCCATATCATTTCCGCCGTTTACGATGGTATACAAACCATAACTGTGAGCAATATTTCACTCTTAAACTGCGATTTTCTATATAACTTGGACTAAACATGGAGGTACGTGTGATGGCTAGTGGAAGTGTGACACTCATTTGTAATGTGTGAATTATTAACAGGTATTAAATAATAAAGTTTAAATAATTCGTGAAAATGCGAATTGGACGAAATTTGTTTTCACGCGAAAATTTCATTGCGTGAAAATTTCCCGTTCTACAGTATATTAATTCGATAATGTATTATTTGCTGCTAGATTAACACGCAAACATTATAATCACTGGGTGTTTAGCCCGAGTCGTGGGGAAATCACAGTTTAGAGTGAAATATTTTTACCCAATTAGAAATGTTATTTATTATTTCGTATGTTTTGTACCAATATGTATTACTCACACTTATGGTTAGTATACCATCGTAAATCATTTTTTTTTGTCGGGCTGATAAAAAATACAACTCACATGGTAAAATATTGTCATGGTCTGCTCCAATAAAAAAAATTAAAATCCAATTTTAGTAAATAAATATTTTGAAGTTGAACTAATGGCTGATACAAAGATCTTGCAACAAAAAAAGAATGTAACAATTTAACATGGAAATTTATAGCCAAGTATACGTTGTGTCTGTTGGTAGAATATTTTTGTGGTGTTTATATGGAGGGTAGTACATGTATTAAAATATTTTTATTTTGCAAGGCTAGTAACTTTCTGACTGTGTCTGGTATACAATTTTGAAAAATTTAAAACACTGTCAAACTGTTGTCTATTTTCAAAATAAGTTACCAGTCTATTTCTCCAAGACAGCTTGAGATTGCAATACCCCTGTAGTTGGGTGAGTTTGATTTTAAAACCAAATTAGTAAATTGGAACCGTTGGACTTGTGTTCCATAAGTCATGGTATATTCATTAGAATTGAAGACTTTAAACGCTTACGTAATGTTTTGTGAGGTAATTTTCACCAATTTTAATAATAGTTGTGTTACCCCTTTTCGTTTATGAATTAAAATATTTTATCGATTATATTGTAACCCTTTTCGACTCCCGAGTTGTAATTAAAATGTAGCGCCGCCTGTGGTGTAACAATTAGAAGTTTTAGACTGGACGTTGGGGGCGTTTGAATTGTTCCTCCAATACAGCCCTGTTGACGATTGAGAGAAAGTGTCAACATGGCCGACTTAGTTGACAAGTTGCCTGCCTGGGAAATCCAAAGGCGATCAGCATCGTACAGGTACGTCGCAGCCGAGGAGGACACGGCCTGGAATACGATTGAGAGTAGGAAGGCCAACGGTAGAAACATGTACTACGACTTGTATCAGTGGAAAATGGGGCAATCGCCCGATAACGTAAGACGTTTTTGCTCTCCTGACATTAAAAAGGACGAACGCGAGGAACTGATTGAGTGGATTCGAGATGTTGACGACAGTGGATCCTGTCAGAGCCTGCAAATCCTATTTTCATTTTCTGTGCCTTTTCCCGTTGCCTTAGACTTCATCGTGGGTCTGGAAGACCCGATTGTTTCTATGGGGGCGGTAGGTATTAATTAACTATGTACTATACAACCTTGACTGTCAACGCAATATTTTTATTATCTGTTTTATTGATATTTTGAATTCATCTTACATGTATACGGAAATCATTTTTTTCTCCATTAATTCGGTCGCTTCTTTGAATAAATAAACTGATGATGAATGTTGGCAATCATTTAAAGCATATGGTCAGTTGCACATACTGTCACATATGAACTCAAAGCTATTATAAGATTTTTTACAAAATGAAAACATTTATATAGAATTATAGTCTGGGCTTTAGGAAGTATTCAGCTGTTGACAACTTCACTAATGCCTAGATATGATGCTGGAAATTATTAAATTTAGTCAAAAATTGTAAATGTCATTAACTGAAAATGTAATAATGCATTGTCATTTATCAAATGATTGAGTTTTTATAGGAAATTCCTTCACATACAGTACAGTGTGTACCCAACGGTGTGTGACATGTGCATAAATCTGATATTATTTGCATTATACGTACACATATGGCGGGTTGAATGCTGCATTGATCAAAGAGATCATTATGCACTAGTCAAAAGTCCTGTAATCTGAATACTAGGACCTGACATTACACAAAGTGGTGTTTGTGTTTGATTGGGACTGAATTTCATGAATGTGCGTCTCTGTGACTCCTGTTTAAAAAACTCAAGTGAAATTCTCACTCGTTAAAAATTTCGCATTCTTCCCGTGAAAGATACACATTTATCAGCCAGGTGTATTTTATATGAACAAAAAAAAAGCAACTCAACCAGCAGTATTGCAATATTGTTTTGCCAACACAATTGCAATATTGATAGTTCAAATGTAACATAATTTGTAATTGTAAACTGATATCAATATTGCTGATTTGTTTGCAAAACAGTAAGTTATATTGCAATATATACTGCTCGTTGGCTTGCTTTTTTATTCACTGTGAAAGTTTGGCTAACCATTGCCCAGGTGAGCAAGTCAATACAGTTTCCCTGTACAATGGTAATGTACCCATCCCTGGGAGCAGGACTTCTACAGTACATATACATGGGAACATATGCAAGATATGGTACTTTAATTTAAGCTGTGCTCAAACAATTAGTACCGGTATACTCACTGTAAGGATACTTTGTGCAGTGATTCTCTTGTGAGGCCAGTCATATTTAAACTATTACAGTTAAAATTTATTGCTAAATAACCAACCACCTGTTGATTTGAAACGTCATTTTTTTATTTCTGTGATGAAAACAGACATTAGTGAAATTAAATCAACAAAACCTCTTGTAACATTTGACAGTATAGCTTGATTTCCTCAAAATTAAAGTTTGAACAAACAAATATTTGCAAATTAGCTTTGGGCATTCTTTGCTGTACAATTTATAAGAAGGGTGTTGCCATGGTCAGAAGACATTTGTTGATCCATGCATTAGTGAAGTTGTAAAAAATACTGTATTTTTGGAGATTTTCAAAAACTCTTTCAATTCCTGTGTCATTTAATTTTTTAGATTATAATACTGGACAGTGACAGAGTTAGTTTGTCTTTATAACATTATTAGGCATTTTTACCATTGTGTGACCTAGATCATAGGCTTAGTTTGACACACCTCCCTTGGCCATGCATACCCGGTAGTTCTCTAAGTCATGTCTAGTTCAGTGTATTATCTCCTTAGGCCAGGCAAAATTTTATGTGACTGAGAATTTAACCTTTTGAGCCAAGGTAAACTTCAGTTACCATCCATAAAATAGTTCCATTTGTAGTCAACTCATTTTCACATAAAATGTTGACAGAAATTTTCAAATTTTATGATCAAAAACTAAAAATAATGTTATATTAGTTCTGTTTGGTCCAAAATTAAGACTGAATTCAGTGAAAATTACAAAAAATGTGAACAAATTTTGAGCATGAAAAAAATTTGATGCTCAAAGGGTCAACTCTTTTGGACCAGTAGTAGTAGTTCAGTAGTCCCCCTAAGTCATGCATAGTTCAGTAGTTCCCCTAGCTCATGAATAATTTAGCAGTTCCCCTAGGTCATGCATAGTTAGCAGCCTACCTTGTGATTATAAACAACTTCATGATTTTCCAATTATATTTTTTTAGGGTTGTGGTTATTGGGAATATTTACTTAAAAAACGTGGCGTGGATATCGTATGCTATGATCAGAACTCACAATACGCTCCCGACATGAGATACATAGAAATCAAGGTAGGTTTTGCCACACCTGGAGTATTTTGCTGTCTATGGATGATGTCATGTGACTGCCAAATTAGCATATTTCTTTCATGATACATGTCACATATCCAGTAGGTGACCTATACAATGTGTAAACATGAATAAATTTTACATGGTTCCTATGGAAGTCATAAATGTGTTTAACACATTACCTGGTAATGTTGTTTTTTCTATTCATTCATCTATTCATTTCCTAAGGCTTTTGGCAGGTGATTTATTAAAATGCTCTTGACACAACATTGCCATTTTTAATGCCTTTACTAATTTTAGAATGTACAAAATTATTTGGTGCGAACTTGTCAAAATATAAAAAAATTAGAAATTTTAATTTTAAATATGTATCACATGGTTACTGTCGAACAAATTATTTTCATTGGCATTTAGTTAATTTTGATATTCTTGGCATATTCACTGGGTTTTAAGTTGACAAATTTCCCAGTGAAACAATACATTGTATTGTAATTTTACTTATGAGCAAAAAGAGTGAAATAATTCAAGCTTAGGGCAATATAACTCAATCAAATTTGAGTGTATTTATTTTGAAATGAACAGTCTGATTGCTTTTTCAATCAGAATGATTTCCTTTTTTTTCATTTATTGTATTTTTAAGAGTTCTAAAAGGATTTGAAACTTGAAGCAATACGATACGTAGGAATCCTGATTTTTTCACTTCCGTATATTGTGGTTGCATGGCAACTGTTTTGTGAGATTATTACGCAGTCAATTTGGTTCTGTAAAACTGCAAAATCTACAGCTCGCAATGTATGTGCTCGGCATCAAGCAACCACCACACTGTTAGTATTTCTGATCATATTACTGTTTGTTTCTTATCACCTTTCACATTTTTTGGTGACTTTCATCTTCAACTGTCAGACGACTCGATCAGAACT